TGTGTGTGTGTGTGTGTGTGTGTGTGTGTGTGTGTGTGTGTGTGTGTGTGTGTGTGTGTGTGTGTGTGTGTGTGTGTGTGTGTGTGTGTGTGTGTGCAGGACTCGGAGGGCGTGGCCATCATGCTTGGAGTGTGCAGTAGTGGCCTGCTGGTCTACAGAGACAGATTGAGGATCAACAGATTCTCGTGGCCAAAGATCCTGAAAATCTCGTACAAAAGGAATAACTTCTACATCAAGATCCGCCCGGGGGAGGTGACACACAAAACACACACTAACATACACATTTGCACACACACACAATAGTCATTTTGTATTAAAAGAAAAGTAAAGACTTGAACTTTGTGTGAGTTTGTTGTCATGGTAACAACACACAGAATAGATAGACTGGGTTTAATGGGTAAAATGGGTGGTCTGGGTTTACAGTGACTGATCAGGTGTTCAAAGATGAGGCCTGGTCCTGGTCCTGAGCCAAAGGTAAAAAAATGAAGTTAATGATAATGAAAGGCAATGAAATGAGAATCAGCTGATCACAGACAGTTTGAAGAGAGCTGTCAATCACTCACTGGTCTGTTTGTCCTCCCAGTTTGACCAGTTTGAGTCCACGATTGGTTTCAAGCTGCTGAACCACAGAGCAGCTAAACGTCTTTGGAAGGTGTGTGTGGAGCACCACTCCTTCTTCAGGTGAGTCTGTGATGATGTAATCACCAGCAGAGGGCGCCACACAGGCTCCAACTGGTGTGACATAATGACACAACTTCCTGCCCCCCCCACCCCTTCCTGTCTGCCTTACAGGTTGCTGTCTCCAGAGGAGACCCCAAAGAAGACACTATCTCTTGGCTCAAAGTTTCGTTATAGCGGTCGGACTCAGATCCAGAGCCGCAGAGCAAGTGCTCAGATCTCCAGACCTGCACCGCATTTCCCACGATGCATCAGTAAGAGGAACATGCTAAGCCGCAGCCTGGATGGAGGTACTCATCCCGATCAATCAATTCTTTCATCTTCACTTAGTGCTAATTCATAACTTAAGATGTTATATATTTTATTATTTACAATACTGCTGCTGGTCTCTGAAGTCCTGGTCCCTGAAGTCCTGGTCCCTGAAGTCCTGGTCCCTGAAGTCCTGGTCTCTTAAGTCCTGGTCTCTGAAGTCCTGGTCCCTGAAGTCCTGGTCCCTGAAGTCCTGGTCTCTGAAGTCCTGGTCTCTGAAGTCCTGGTCACTGAAGTCCTGGTTTCAGTAGTCCTGGTCTCAGTGGTCCTGGTTTCAGTAGTCCTGGTCTCAGTGGTCCTGGTCTCAGTGGTCCTGGTCTCAGTGGTCCTGGTTTCAGTAGTCCTGGTTTCAGTAGTCCTGGTCTCAGTGGTCCTGGTCTCAGTAGTCCTGGTCTCAGTGGTCCTGGTCTCAGTGGTCCTGGTCTCAGTGGTCCTGGTCTCAGTGGTCCTGGTCTCAGTGATAGTATCAGTAATAACTGATATTGGACGGCCATCACCCCGAGCATAGTGCTATTACAGCCTGTTTGAATATGACCAATCAGAGAGCAGCATTTGTCTCCCTGCAGTGTTTTGCTGCATTCATGTGGTGTCGGATACGTCGGAAAAACAAGTTTCCGAGTTGTAAAATGAACATGAACAGCTGCTCAGAATGGTCGTCAAATGGGGAGCTAAATATGTTTAGTTAACATACTTTTTTTTAATTCAAGTATTGCACATCAACTTTTTGTTCAAATATCACTTTTATCAGTAACATTTCACTGACCTTCTGTTTGTTGTTGTTACAACATTCAGACTTTCTGAACTGAAATCACTTGAACACACTAAAGTCAGAAGAACGACTTCCAAACTCAGAAACTGTGAGCACCGAGCAGCACCTGAATGCAGCATCAGTTCCAGTGTTTCATGTCTGATCGTCTCTGAATAGATGATCTCTGATGCTGATAAGAGTGTTGTTGGTCCTTAGCTTCTAGGGTCACGCCCACATCCTCTCTGATTGGCTCTCCGGCCTCATCATCCCTCAAAGCCAATGGTGGTTCTCACACAGGTACAGCTCCTGACCGCTGTACTGCAGTGCTGTTGTAGAGCTGCTTTGTGATTGGCTACAGCTACATGCCTCATTCAGCTTTAAGGAATGCTTTTTTAATAGCTATCCAATCAGCCCTTCTGTTTTTAATGAGGTCATCAAATATGATCAACCACACACACTAACACACACACACACTGTGTGGTATGTAGTCATGAGGTTCTGACACAGCTTGGCCACGCCCCCTCTGAGTGTGAGCACAACAGTAAAGACATCATGACTCATGTTAGCATTATTAATATAGTTTTTATCGTTGCAAATGTTGTTAGCATTGTTAGCATTGCTTGCATCATCATGCTAACATGAAGTGCATTGATGTCATGGAGGTTCTGAGTGCTGATTGGCTGATTGGCCGATTGGCCTGGGCTGGTCTGCATGTCCCCTGTGCTCTGAGTGGCTGAACGGGGGCTGTCACTTTGGGTAAAAAAA